GGGGGGGGGTGGCTCTGAGCATCTCCGTAGTCGGACCGTCGCTGCCCTCACACTGTGGCTGGAACGGAGCCTGCAGCTGTGAGAAGTGATGGAGAAGAGGGAGCTCTGACCCAAACGCCTCCAGGATCCCGGCACGCGTCGCTCCCCTCTCACGCTCCCATATGTGCTAACGGCCGCGCTGTGGGGCTGCGCTCGTTAACCCGGCGCTGAGCGCAGCCCCCAGCCCAGCTGCCAGCGATGCCCCCTCAGGAGGGGCTCTGGGTTTGCAGCCCAGAGGGAAACATTAGCTGCGAGAGGAGGATTCGTGGTGCCCAGAGCCTGGCAGCAGGATTCAGCCCCTCTCCCACATCCCCAAATGAACGGGGGGGGAGAAGGGAGCACAGCCGCTGGGTCTGTTCTAGGATGTTCAAAGGAGCACCTGAGCTTATTTGGGGTCATTTCCTCCACTCAGGGCAGGGATAGCAGCTTTCTGAGCCCCCTCCTGCTCTCCCCTATAGCATCTCCCTCCTTGGCGCAGAGCTGAGCGTTGCAGCGCAGGGCAGAGCGCGGGGTTGGTGCTGGGAGGGCGGGGGGCTGCTGGGGGGGCATTTCTGCCACAGCACCGAGCATAGAGAGCAGGATGGCAGGTGGCTGCATGACGTGGGGCTCTTTGCACGGGACAAGAAGCGAGGAGGGAGGGCCTCCGAGGTGCCGCGTGCCCAGATGGAGCCCCAGCTCCGACATCTGATCGCCGCCGAGAGAACAGCGCCCGCGGCGTAAATGGTTTATCCTGTCCCCCTCTGCATCCTCATCCTCTTAGCGCAGCGCCGTGCCGGGCAGCCCCGTGGGCTGTGTGACCAGATGTGGTCGGAGTCCCATCGGGGCAGTTAGGGCCGTATCGCTTACGGAAGGGGATTAAAGCTCAGCGTCCCGCTCCCCAAGGCCTCTGGGATTAGGATGTCACACACACACGCACACAAGCAGGGCTCACGGGGAGCTGGGACCCTCCTCATCCTCACTCTGCAAAGCTCCCATGGGGACGGTGTGGCACTCAGGGTCTGGCTGTGGGGTGTAGGGTTGACCCATGGGGTGTGGGGCAGACCCATGCCAGCGCCGTCCCTCAGGAGGACAACCTCCCTGGGGGCCTCTTGCCCACGTTTGGAGCTGCTCAGCTTACCCAGGGGAATTATTTGGGGATGCAGACACGGTGCCCTGCACAGAGGTGCTCACCGCATCCCGCAGCCCCTCTGCACGATGCCCGTCACCTTTGAGCATCCCCCAAAGCCACATTTCAGGGCTGCTCTCTCAACCTCGCCTCGCATAACCCTGACTGTAGGAGGGGGCACATCTGCCAGGCGAGTTTCTGTGGGGCACCGTGGGGACGGCCCCGTTCCTCCTGGGTGCAGCCCCCCGCCTCCCCCACACTCCCTCTCAGCCCCACATTCCCGACTGCGCTCAGGTGGGGGATGCAGCCGTGTGTCCCCCCCGAGATTGAGCATCGTCCCCATCAGACGCAGCTCTGGGGGGGCCCCGAGTCCCCAAGCTGGCAACAGATGGCTGGAGGCAGCTTGCTGACACCTGCCCCTCCTCTCCGCCCTGCTCCTGCCCTTCCCTTTCTTCTCCGCTTGTTTTGTTTCATTTCCCAACACTTTCTGGGGGTTCCTCTCCTCTCTGCAGAGTCTGTCCCCAGGGCGGGGAGACGGGGAGGGATGGGGTGGCCCTAGGGAAGGTCTTGGGGTCCCTTCCAGCAGTGCACAGCGTGCCGGACCCCGATGGATCTTCAAGGTCCTTGGTCACGTCCCTATGGATGCTGTGGGTCAAGGCTGGAGCAGGGACTGTGCCCACAGTGACCCTCTGGCTGTGCTCTGCTGCTGGGTGTTATCTGCAGCCTTCCCTGCTGCCAGCTTCCAGACGAAGCTGATTCCCAAGAACGTGCCCTCCTCCTTCCTTCTTGCACCTCCGGAGTCTGCAGCAGCAAGGGAACATCCTCCTGGATGCAGCCGAAGTGAACATCAGCTCCCCAGCATCCCCCAAGCATCTCTCAGCACTTCACCCCATCCCCATCGCAGCAGAATGGGAGCGAGGTGGGTGAGCTGTTCCTGCTGGGCTTTGCCTCCGTTCACCCCAGAAACGGCTGCAGGGAAATCAGCCCTGGGTGCCCTGCAGCTGCAAAGAGGAGAGCTGCAACCTCCGTGGTGCTGGGATCCCGCTGGACGGACAGGAAAGGGCAGTTGGGCATCACGGGGAGGATATCTGAGGTGGGCACGTGGAGGATGGGGTTGGGGAGGAGGAGCTGGGTGCTGTGCCAGGGCAGCCCTGCGACAAGCAGCCGCCACCAGCTGCCTTGACAGCTCCGCCGGAAAGCTTTAGGGTGGGCTCCAGCAAGCAGATACGGGGGGCATCATCACCCCCCTGCGCTCTGCCCTGTGCAATCTGCCCCCTGCAAACCCACCCCAGCAGGAGAGCATCCCCCCGCAGCTCCTGGGCTGCTGCATGCGCATGAATGCATGGCACAGAGCTGGGGAAAGAGAGAGAGAGATCCACCCCCCCCACCCTGCACCCGGCCGGCCCCCCCCCCCCGACCCTCCCCAGTGCATCCCTATAAATCACGCTCTGGCATGCCCCCCTCCCCTTCGGCGGGGTTTGGGGGGTCACCTGTGACCCCTGGCAGATGGCGCGGGGACGCCCAGCCCTCCGCCAGGAACTGTTGCAGCCGCCATCTGTCGGGCAGCTCCAATCTCAGCAGTGCTGCCCGCCAGAGCAGCATCCCCACCCTGGGACCCTGTGCTGCTGCAAAAGGGGGGAGGGGGGAATGATGTGAATGGGGGGGGGGGGGATGTAAATAGGGTGGGACACATGCATACACACATAAAGTTGCCCTGCTGCTCGTGGTTGTCCTGCCAGGAGCACCCGAAATCCTAAGGAGAGGAGGAAAGGGTGTACATATGAGGCTGAGCAGGGGGAGGAGAGGTTTCGAGGGGGCTCAGCACAGTTTTTGGGGTCTTTGTCACCCCCAGGGTGTGGGGGCTTTGTGGGGATATGGGGGGATGGAGTTACAATAGGTGTTGTCTCCTTTGGACAAGCTGCACACGGGGATCCTGGGTTTGCGCTCTGTGCTGGGGGGCACTGGGGAGGGCTGGGGGTCTCTGGGGAGAGTTCAGCTGGGCTTCGGTGCAGGCAGCCCCCAGTTCCCCTGCGATGGTCCTTGGGGAGAGGACAGAGCCTCAGGGACACAGCTTGAGGGACACAGAAGCTCAGAGGGCCCCAGTGGGGCAATTCCTTGGGGCAGGACCCACTGGAGCAGGAATTAGCCTGTTAGCACCCACATGGCTGCATGGCTGGGAGAAAGAGGGGGGGGACGGACAATTTTTGGGGTGCTGCTCCAGATGGGTGAGCAGCACGGAGGCCCCCAAAATCACCCTGACCCACAGCAGAGAGGAACTGAACGCGTTTCCTTCCAGCCTCAGTATTTATTCCACTTGAGGTTGCTTCTGTCCACTGCAAATCCCTCGCAGCTCCCCGGCTCTCCTGCTGTCAGCAGGCAGTGCCACACTCCATGGCACCAGGGCTGCCACCTCCATCCCCCCACAGCCTCCATATGGGCTGTCCTGCTCCACACAGGTCCCGTGGCCATCCGTCTCCCAGGGCAGGACCACTCCTGCCCCATATAGGGGGCTGTGCTGTGGGGCAGCCCATGACCCCGGAGCAGAGGGGCTGCAGACGCCCCATTCCTCCTGGCCAGGACGTGGATGGGCTCAGGGTGAGATGACATAGGCAGTGGCGATGTATTTCTTGCCATGGCCGTAGGTGGACTTGGTCCAGGTGTAGGTCTGGATGCTGACGCCGTGGCCACCCAAGCTCAGGTGACATCTGTGGGGACATACAGCTCTGCCCCACACCATCGCCTCCATAGGGTGTCCCCACGCCCCCAACCCCACCCCAAAGCTGAGGGCAGTGGGACCTGGCTCAGCTGCTCCATAGGGTTTCCCAAATCCAGAGTGGGGACAGGAGGGCACCGCCGGCTCCGTGGCCAGAGGACAGACAGACGGACGCAGTACTTACGCCCTCCCAGGTCGGGCAATGAAGCACAACGTGTAGATGCCAAATTCAAACTCAGGGCTGCAGCCGATGAAGGCAGAGCCCACCTCCTTGTAGAAGCCGTCCCAGCTGAACTGCAGCCCCAGTACATCAGGGTAGGTGTCCCACTGGAAGCAGCAGAAAGGGGTTTGGGGATGAGATCCTCCATAGCAGGGCACGGGAGCCAAGCAAAGCCTGGCTGCACCCCAAGCAGGGCACTCCCAGCCCCACATCTGCCCCATTCGCCCACTGCAGTGGGATCTGCCCACCCTGCTTCCGTCCCAAGGTCCCTATACAGGGACGCAGCAGGCTGAGTAGCTCTGCCCCACATCCTGGGGGTCTTGGGATGCGGCTGATGGAGTGGGGTCAGCGCTCCCTGCCCAAATCCTGCATTGCCCCACGGCATGGCTCACCGGCCCATCAAAGTTGTGGCTGAAGTAGTTGACCAGTCCCTGCTTTTCCAGGAGGTAGAAGCGGATCCAGTTGTGAAATCCACTCACTTTCCCTTTCTTAATCTCCCCTAAACACAAAGGAGAATCGAGGTGAGCCGGGCACCCTCACCCCAAATCCCCCAGCTTTGCCCCCCCTTAAACCAGGGATGTGCTCAGATGGGGCCGAATGCCCCAAATCCCAGCTCTGCTCCACTGTGCCTCCCCCAACCCAAATCCCCCATCCAGGACCCCAAGGAGCCGCCCCACGTTCCCCATCCTCCTGGGGTGCGCTCCACCTGAGAAGACGTGCTCGAAGCCGCTGGAGTCCTTCTCTCCATCACCTCGGGAGTAGAGCCCAAACCACATCTCCTTCAGATCCTGCAGGAATTCCTCCTCGGAGCCGTAACGATCTGCATGCAGAGGGAAAGAGCAGCTGGATCAGCACACGGACCCCATCACAGCCGGCCCCGGCCTTGATCCACACTCACTTTTTTTATGGAGGAAAGCGAAAAGTTTCTTCATGAGCTCCGTCTTCATCACCTCCCGGAGGAAGACGTTCTGCTCCTGCAGCTCCTCGGCCGTCACCTCCTCCTCACGACCCGTCGCCCTCTGGTAGTTGTCCAGCAAACGGATGAAGCTGGCGTAGGTGGGTTTGGAGAAGAGCTTCTCGTTGACGTATGCATAGAGCCTGGGAGAGAGCAGGACGTGAGCTGGGGAGGAGAGGGGTAGGGAGGTCCTATAGAGGGGTCCGGGTGGGCTGAATCCATGGGTTGAGGTCAATGGGATGAGGCTCAATAGGGCCAAGTGCTGCACTTGGGTCATAACAACCAGCCAGGAAAGACATGGAGGTGTTGGAGTGCATCCAGAGAGGGGAATGGAGCTGGGAGGGGTCTGGAGCACAGATGTGATGGGGACTGGGGTGGTTCACTCTCAAAGGGAGGATCAGGGGTGACATTATTGCTCTCAACAACGCCTTGAAAGGAGGTTGGGGTGAGGAGGGGATGAGAAATGATGGCTTTCGGTTGCACCAGGGGAGCTTCATGTTGGATATTACGGACAATTTCTTCTCCAAAAGAGTGGTAATGCATTGGCACGGATTGCCCAGGGAGGTGGTGGGGCCACCAACCCAGGAGGGGACAAGGAATGGCAAGGATGCGGCACTTGGGGACGAGGTCAGCGGGCATGGGGGGACGGGCCGGGGTTGGAACTCGAGATCCTGGAGGTCTTTTCCAACCTGAATGATTCCATGATTCTACGGCTCTATGAGTAGAGATCCCACGTGAAAACCATCCCTGCCCCCAAGCCCAGCTGTTGGGGTCCTGACCACGGCATCCCCTCGGAACCATAGAATCATTAAGGCTGGAAAAGCCCTTTAAGACCACCCAGCCCAACCTCCTGGCCGTGCACTGGTGAAACACACTCACGGCTCGGGGGAGCGATCCTCCTGGAGCCCCGTTTGGTCGGGGGCAACCCGGTGCTGTGGGTTGATGGCGATGTCTTTGGGTTGAGCCTTGTTGCGATCCGCCCCATAGAGCTGCTCGGAGACGTGGAGCAGCTCCTCATCGCTGATGGCATCGTGGCTGCTGGAGAAGTGCTCTGAGGAGAGAGATGGGAGCTGGGGGGCATGGCATGACCCCAGAGCATGGAGGGGTGCTCCCAGCCATCACCAAGCCCTCTCTTTTTGGGTAAAGGCCTTCAGGTGCGATGCTGCTCCCCGCAATCCCTGTGGGGTGACGCTGCTCACCTTCAGCACGTCTGTGCACCGCTTCCTCACCTGCACAGAGCCGAGAGAAGAGCTCAGGGTGAAGGAGCTGCGCCCAGGACCGTGCACCCAACTGCAAAGCAGCGCAGGCGGATGCATTCAGCCCTCTGCACCCCATCGCTGGGTGCTGCCCACCCATCCATGCTCACCCGCCCCGCAGTGCTCCAGGTAATCCCAGCAGCAGCTGTTGCGGCTCCGGCAGTCGGCGTCGCAGTGGCACTCATCCTCGTGGCTGTAGGGTTCCTCGCAGCGACCCCTGCAGGAGTCGGGGTCCGTGTACAGGGCTTTGGGGGAGAGAAACAACAGTGCGGTTCTGTGGGGCGGACCAGCAGCCCTGCTCCATCCAGACCCAAATCCGGGAGCGGATCTTCCTTCTGGGTCCTGGTGGACAGCAAGGAGACAAGGAGACAGGGGACAAAGGGACAGCATGGGGACAAAGGGACAGCATGGGGACAAAGGGACAACATGGGGACAGCCACACTGGGGGTGTGCAGGGGGGAGAAGAGGAACTCTGGCCGCTGTGGGGCTGAGCAGCCCCTCAATCTGCAGCATCCCAGTGCCCAAAGCGCTGGCTGTGCGCTCTGACGCCATTCCCTCCTCATTTTGGCAGAGCAAAAACGGACCAAGCTCCACGGCTGGAGCTTACTCGGGAACCTTTGGGTTGGATGAGTTGGGTTTGGATCAGGTGAGTCCTCAGGACAACTTCTCTGTGGTCATTCAGCTACAGAGACGTTGCGGCCACTTGGCACCAGGAAGCGCCTTCCTGGCTCCTTCATTCATCCCTGCCCTGATTCACCCACTAATGCCCGCCTCAGCCCATGGCCCAGAGCAGCACCGCATTCCAGACGCCTTTATTTGCAATTCGCAATGAAAACAGGGGACTCCTTCCTGAGCTATTTATACCACCCATGCATCATGCAGCTCCATTACGCGCCTAAAATTAGAGCTGAGCCCCAAGCTGTGCTATGAGCAGTGCCAACGTCGTGTCCCAAAAGGACGAGGGGCCCTCGCAGGGTGCTGTACGGCACCAAGGTGAGAGACAGCATTGGCAAACTCCAACCTTTGTCGTGACCTCTGAGTGTTGCACTGAGTGATTTCTACCTGCAACTTCATCCACTGCTCTGTTGTTGTGCGTTTCGCCCCAGTGCTGCTGTTTCGGAGCTGCCAAACTACGGGGGGTGATGGGAGGGAAGAACATCTCTGCCTCAGCATCTCCTGCTCAGCACTGCTGAGTGCTGCTTGGCTTCCTGGGGTGCTCCTGGAGGAGATTCACCCGTGGTTCTACTTCTTCCCATCCGGTAGTTTGAGGTGAGCGTTGCTCCATCTGCCCCCAGGTCACCCAGCTGAGCAGGTCTGGAGCCCCAGTGGGGATGAGCAGCAGCAATCCTCGTCTTGTTTCCATCCCTCTCACTCCCAAAGCACCAGTGGGGATCAGTCACCCCGAATGACACATCCAGGCTCATTTTCCAGCTGCAGCCCTGGAGGGATTGCACAAGGCAGGAACTGCCCACGCGTGGGTCAGCGCTGAGAAGTTCCCTGAGTGTGTTATGGCAAAGCCCAGCGCTGGGATGCACTGCAGCTCAGCAGGGCTGGGAGCTGCACAGAGCCTTCAGAGAGAGCTCAGCATCGGCCGTTCCCTTCCAAGGCTCAGGTGCAAGAAGAGCTGCAGCATCCCAGGCTTTTCCCTGCAGTGGGATGGCTGCAGGAGGGTGTTTGCTCACCAGGTTTGAACCTAAAAACAGCTATAGGGCAGCCTGCAACTCTTCATGGTTACGTTAGAACTGCTGGAACACTCTTTAGGGAGAAGAACCAAAGGGAGAGCTGGCAGTGTTGAAGGAGGTCAGGAGGAGAGGGATGCTGCAGTGCTCAGCATCTGTGCATCTGTGCAATGCTGTGCCCAAAGGATGCTGTGCCAAAATGCTGGGCCCAGAGGATGCCCTGCCCATGGGATGTTGTGTCCAAATGCTGTGCCCAAAGGATGCTGTGCCCAGGGGATGCTGTGCCCAAAAGATGCTGGGATCTGTGTGGACAGACCCAGGCTCGTCCTCCTGCCCTCATCTCTGGCCCATCACTCCCCTAGACAGGACTCAATCTTCCTGCCCTCCCCCGGCAGAATCCTCTCCCGACGGTTGCCAAATGAGGCAAGTTGAGGACAGATGTGGTTTTGGCAGCCAAATCCTCAGAACGGCCCCCAAACGACGGAGTCTGCATTGAGTTTGTGCCAAGAACAGTGGATACTCTGCCTGCATGGAGCCAAAAAGCCCTTCAGCTCCTCAGCCAGAGCCGTGCTTCCTCATGAGGGTCATTAATCAGGATGAGAACGTGGTGACTCCTCATGGGCAGCCCAACGTGGAAGCAGCTCCTCTTACACCTTGGCCTTGCAAAACTCCTCACTGCTCATCCTGGGTTGAGCCGCCTGCTCCTGGAGCGTCAGACACAGCTCACAGCATCAGAATGGTGATGAAACTCCTTTGCTCGAGAACAGACCACAGGTCCACGCTTCATCCAAGAATGCAGCAGCGGCAGCAGCGCATCACGTGCGGCGCGCCGATGAGCAGAGCCAAAAGCACGATGCTCAGGCGCTGCTCCTTATTGCAGCAGCCATCCCTACCCATGCATCCTTTGAGCCCTGCTCTGCCCCATCTCTCAAACCCTTTTTTTTTGGTGTGCATTGCATTGCATTGCAGCTCCTGGCCATGCAGAGCGGGGCCGAGCCCTCCAACTCACACCAACAGCTGCAAGGATGATCCCCGAGCTCCACAAGCACCTCTTGTGTGACCGATGATGGGGTGACCAAACCCGCTGCCACCAGACCTGTCCCACAGGTGCTGCCCTGTCGACCCGGGATGCTCGCAGCTCTGGAAGCTGCAGGCAGTTCTGGTGATGCACAGGGAGGTGATGACAGCTTTCACACTGCTTTGCTCACTGCCCGAGGTGTGAGCTGGCTCGAGGTGAAGCCAGGTGAGAGCCTGGGGTGCTGGGAGCCCCAGAGCATCCCGGTGTGCTTCCAGTCTGAGCGCTGGAGCTGTGCTGGTGTGGCTGAGCTGTGCTGTCTGGGAGCTTTGGCTGGTGCTTGCCGTGGGCAAAACATCCAGATTCATGTTGCGCCTCGCAGACGCTGGGTTTCACCACCCCCCATCCAGCAGCAGGTTTGTGGGTAAGGAAGTGGAGAAATCGCCCTCGTTGCTCTCCCAGGATGAAGGAGCAGAGGGAAGGTGGGTTTGCAGGAGGAGAGCACGGCAGCGTGCCCAAAACCCAGCCAAGAGAAGGACAACCCCCATTCCATCACCAGCAGAAACCCCAGGGAAACCCTCCAGCATGGAAATATCCCCCACTCTTTGGGAAAGATCCGACTCCATTCCAAGCACCTGGTGCACCCTGAGCTCCCCACTCCCCAAATCCCCCCTTCCTTCAGCCCAGTGCGGCCCCCTCCCCACGCAGAGCTCTGGTACTCACAGCCCAAGGCCATTCCCACCCCGAGGAAGAGGATGAAGGCCTTCATCATCCCGGTGCTTCGCAGCATCTCGGCTCTCTGGCAGTAACGTGGGTGCTGCTGAGCTCTCCCTGCTATATGCGGGTCCCCAGAGCGGAGGGAGGAGCCTGGTGAAACCAAGGACCTCACTGCAGGCTGCACCCCAACTTCACCAGAGCTCATTAAGTGCGTGTCCTAATTACAGCCTGCCCAGAGTGGGAGGAGGGCTGGTAATTCCAGCTCCTGGGATTGCTCCACTTCTCTGTCTGCACTTCCCCAGGGTGACGGTTGTGGAGCAAAGGGAAAGCATCTTGGGGGGGTTGGGAGGGGGGTCCTCACCTCCAAGGGGGATCAGGGTGGGTATTGGTGTCACTGGGTGCTGCATCCCCGCATCCCCCTGCCTGTGCTTCCCCAGAGAGCCCCGCCACCAGCCCTGCGTGCAGCCCTGGGAGCTGCATTTTCCTTCTGCCCCCCCCCCCCCCCCCTCCCCCCCGCAAAAACCCCGGACCCCCCCCCCCCAAACCCCCACCCCAAGCAGATGTCCCTGCTCTGAACAGCACCCAGCCCAGTGGATGCAACCTGTGACCCCTCCAGCAGCACCCATCCTGACCCCTTGGCACACAGTTGAGCAGTTCCGTAAGGAAAAAAGGTTTGGCATCCTTCTCACCCCTCTGTCATTTCCTATCCTCATCCCTGAGCTGCTGACCCTGCTGACACGTCCGTGCTGACAGCAGTTTTGTTTTCTGGGATGATTCGGTGTCATCATGAGCTGAGTGTCTCTCACACCCTGCACATGACCAAGCTGGGAGATGCTGTGAGATTTGGGATTTTCTCATGCCTGTAATTGCTTTGGGACCAGCTTGCCATCACCCTCAGGCACCCGGGTTGGGCTCTGATGAATGCTAGTTGTTCAACACCGATGGGGAAAATGCCTAACAAGCAGCAAAGGTGGAGGAAACGGGGAAAAGAAAGATTCCTGGCTGCAAGAAGTTGAGAGCGATACCCAGGCACTGAGTTTTGGCTGCAGCCATGGGGCGTCCATTCTGCTCCTCTCCGGGATGCTGGGATGGGCGATGGGTCCTTCAGCCCCACAGGAGGAAGAGGAGGAGATGTTGGGATGTGGAGCAGCCCCATGGAGGAGGTGGGAGCCCAGCACCTGCCCTCTTCTCTTGCACCCAGGGCTTCTCCCCATGGAAGGCAGCGACCTTGTGGGGCTTCTGCTCCCCATAGGAACAGCTGGTGGGGTGGGATCTAAAGGAGGAGGTGCTCCTGGGGAAATCCCAGCGTGGGTTTAGCTTATGGAAAGTGTAGGGAACGGGGTGTGCTTGAACCAGGGGAAGCAGACAGGGCTCAGCTTTTCCAGTCAAGCAGAGATGCCTGCAGCCAAGCCTGATGTTGGGGCCAGCGTCGTGTCTGCAGGAGGAAGGGAGAAGCCCTGGGACACAACCAGGCAGCAGATCTGCAGGCTGAAGGTAATCCACAGGCTGGGATCCAGCTGGAAAGCGCACAGCTTCCACTTAACCCTTCCTTCACCAAAATGAGCTCCTCCACATCAGGGCTCCTTGAGGGCAAGGAACCTGGAGAAGGTGATGGAAGGAGCTCCGGGCTGCCTGATTTGGGGCCACATGGCAGGGAATCACTGCTCTGCTTTGCTCCAGCTCATCTGGATGTGGTCAGGGGATGGTTCAGGTGGAGCCCAAAACCAGGGGGACACAAGGTGATAAGAGTTGGTCCCAGCTTTCCAAATGGGGATGTTTAGCAGAGCAGGACTTGCTCCAGCACTGACACCGTGCTGTGCCCTGTGTTGTCAACCCAGGGCCAAACACCTCAGGAGTGTTTTGGGGAGTGCAGAGGCCTGCTGAGCGTTGGGGGCTCAGAGCTGGGCTGTGTGTGGCTGTAGGACGATGGACCTATGGCAGAGCTGAGGTCAGTGCCCAGCACTGCCCAGATCTATGGCGGGTCACACCTGGATCCCAAATGGTGAAATGCTTCACTCAGGAACCAAGGAAGATGGGAACCGGACCCCCTGCCCAACCCCACTGGTGGAACAACCCCAGAACCGAGGAGCAGAGGATCCCAAGGGCCATGGCATGAACACAGGGGGGTCCCAGGACCCCATGTCCCACCCTGGAGCTGGCTGCAACATTTGAATCTTCTCTTAGCTGTGATGGGGAATTTTATTGTAAGCAACCCAACCCCCTGAACTGTGAGGTGGAACTCAGCAGTGCTCCGGTCCCTTGTACCCCAGCCTTGCTTGGTACCCTGCAAACGTGGGAAGACTTTAGGGGCAGGGATCAGCCTTGAAGCCCACAGCCCCATTCCTCCTGCTTATAGCACTGGGACAATCATTGCTCCATGCACAGCCAGAGGTGCGGGGAAGGGTGAGTGGGGGTTTGGGAACAGCTTGATCTGATCCCCGTCTCCATCACTGCATCTTCCTCCCACCACAACAGAGGCTGTCACATCTCTGCTGCTGTTCTTCCCTTGTCCACGTGGGGAAACCGAGGCACGCAGGTGGCTGAGCTTAGCCCAAGCTGTGCTCCTGGGTCCATGCAGCTCCAGGGAGCTGAGATGGAGGACACAGCACATCCCAGGGGGCAAACAGGACAGAGGGATGGAGCGCAGCACCCCCAGAGCAGGCAGCATTGGTGCTGGGGGCACCCAGGGCACCCCGACAGCGCAAGGAGCGAATGCAGGCTGCTGCGTGGAGAAATAAGGTGAGCACAGCCTTGCATACAAAAATACCTCTATTGCTCACTGTGTGGGGGCTGCAGACCCTGCTGTCCGTGGCCTCACCTGCCCACAGCCCCCGTGAGCTCCCGACTGCACGGACAGGTCTGGCTCCCATAGCAGAGCCACGGGGCTGCTGTGCCATCAGCACACACAGTGCCACGTCCCTGCTGAGTCCTGGCTCCCTTTCCCTCCTGCCCATCAGGACTCCAGGTCTCTGGAGAGCCGCAGCAGCTCCTTCTGGCTGTCGATGGCTTTCAGGTGCTGCAGATACGCCCAGGTGGAGACGGGGCTCCGCACGCTCAGCGACTGCTCCGAGCCTGCAGGGTGAGGGATGGGCTCAGTGAGACCCCCCTCCTCATTGCTCACGTCCCCATCTCTGCCTGCAGCCTGACCCACGGCTCCTCCTCTGTCCCCCCCCCAACTTGGCTTGTGGGTCCTCCTAAACTGCCCACCTCATTGCAATCCCCTTCATCGCCCCAACTTGGTTCGTGGGTCCCCCCTCTCGCCCAGCTCGTTTGAAGCCCCTCCATCATCTCCTGTTGGGTTCTTGGCCCCCCCTCTTGCTCAGCTCACTGAAATCCCCTCCATCTTCTCAACTGCGGCTTTCTGATCCCCCTCCATTACCCTTAGCTCAACCCACTGAACCCTCTTCCTGTGGCTCACGGATCCCCTCTATTCCCCACTGCCCATCTCAACGAAATCCCCCCAACACCTCCAAGGTTTCAGTCCCAGGACCCTCCCACCTCCCCCTTGGCACTAAAGGAGCAGAAGAAAACGGGACCAGGTGCGTTCCATGGGGCAAAGCGATGCCCAGCTGGAAATGTCGAGGCACCAACAACACCATCCCGGTGTTCACATCCCTCCACTTTTAAAGAACAGGCACACCAGTGGACCCTATTAATGCACTTAACGAGTAAACCTCATTAAAAGCCCAGCCCCACACCTACATGTGCTGATCCTGACGGCCCTGGCATCCTCTGGTCGGTGTGGGGAGCGATTCCGCAGTGGGGACAGCGGAGCTGGGTGCATACAGAAAGCAGGAGCTGAGTGACGGCCCCCCCCCAGCCCCATGACACCCCAAACCCCACGACCCCCCAGCCCCACTCACCGTGTGCCTGGCCCCGGCAGCGCTGCAGGACGCGCACCGTCTTCGCCATCATGTGCTGTGGGCAATGCACACAGAGGTTGACTCGTTGCCACCCAGCACCATTTTGCTCCCAGCTGGGAAAACACCCTGGCAGCTTCAGCAGAAACTGCCCTCCTCAGCCCCACCGTGGGGCACGGCTGATGCTGCGTGGATGCTCTGGGCCAAGCAGCGCCCACAAAGGGGGGTCCAAGGGGAGCAGCCCCCCACCGCCACTCACCATCTTCTCAAAGTTGATGAGGTTCTCGGCCAGCGTGCGGTTGCCCTCGTGGATGAAGGTCAAGTCTGCAACAGGAGGGGATGGGGGGAGGGAGGGGGGGGTCGGGGTGAGCCCTGGGTTTGGTTTCTCAGTCCCCTGCGTGCGCAAAGCTGTGGTACGCACCTTTAAGGAGGAGGGGGACGAAGGGGATGATGGGGGGGCTCAGCTTGGCGACGGCCAGACGATAGACCCGGTGGTTCCATGATGGGTCCTGGGGACAGGCAGAGGGATGGGGGCTGATGGGGCAGCAGAGATGTGGGGAGGGGGTGCCCTGGAACAGCGCATCCCAAACGTGGGAGCACACGTTGCACCACCTCCGTGCCATCGCTGTGTATTAGGGGAAGCAGGAGCAGCATGGAGTGGCAGTAAACCCAGAGATATGGGGCAGGCACAGAACCCCCCAGCTCTGCTTCCTGACCCCTAAACCCCATCCCATCACCGAGACCCTCCAGCTCCATGGGAAGCAGCTGCACTCACCAGCATCCGCTCCAGCGCCGCGTGCAGCTTACGGATCTTGTGGGGCAGCCTCTGCACAGAGAGGGTGTCAGGGTGGCCCCACAAACCACCGTGCCCAACCCCCTAAATCTCCATGCACCTCCAAGACCCCCATCCCAATTCCCCTCTTTGGGATCTGTGATGTTACTTGGTCTGGGTGCTTGGCAGCAACGGTCCTTCCAAC